CCCCCCCCCCCCCCCCCCCCCGATACCGAGAGAGATTTAATTTCAGGATTTGGTGTGTGTGTGTGTGTGCGTGTGTGTGTGTGTGTGTGTGACGTTGCAGTTCAAAACAACTTAAGGGGCATATAAAAAAAAAAAACATTCTTTGTAGATGTACGGTTTCCACATGGACTCTCGACGAAAACAACCAGGTAAATTGAATGGCACGTCTCCACGAGTTGATTAGTTGATTAAACTAGTTGTTGATTAACTTTCATCTCCATTTCTTTTTGAGTGCGAACGAATGCACATGAAAATTAATCATCCCCTAGCCGCTCCCACAATAAAACTGCCCACTCAGGTTTCATGCCGTCCAAGTTGAAATAAAAGGGTGAATATTGTCATTATTTCCGCTTGGAAAAAATGTTTTGTTTACAAAAAAAAAAAAAAAAAAAAAAAAAAAAAAAAAACTGAATAATGTTACAATTGAGCGAGTACTTTTACCAAGCCATTGTCACCAAATCCGGGGAAAGGCCATAGTACTGTAGTGTTTCAAATAAAATAATAATGTTACTACACTGCACCATAAAAACGCAGATTTAAAGGGGTAATAACTCTTCGTATGAGATCTATATTTCACAATAAAAACCTTGTGAATAACTCATAGAAATATAATATATTCTGTTTTACCACAAAAACAGCAGTTAAAGCTATTATTCTGATATCTGAGCTTGTCTTTAGACCACGTGACCTCCATTGATGGCTATACTCTTTTAAAATCTGTTCAGAGATTTTAACAAAAAACCAAACTTTTTAGAAAAAAACCAGGGACCAACTTTGAATGTAAAAATGGATTCATTAACCATTGGAAAGTATGGGAAAATTGTTGTTTACTCCAGGAAAATTCATCTTTGGCCAAACGAAGAGTTATTATTGCTTTAAATGTACGACTAGAAATTTGAAGAAAGACCAAGTTTTACGCTTTTTATTCTGCTGCCCGAGATATCAATTTCGAGTTGTCATTTTGAATTACTTTATTTACAGTTGATATGCTTCTTGTAAAAATAGCTGTATAAAAAACTAATATTTCGTATGTCACAGGGAATTAATCCTCGCTTTCTTTTTTTCTTTTACATGTAGTTAAAAACTATCATGCCTTACCTGTTGCACTACTAACGTATCCGCTATATCCCAACTGTCGGCAGACAACTGCGGCGTCGTTGCTTCCCCATCCATAGTCACAAATGCGCCTCCATTCTCCGGCAAACTTTATCTCCACACGGCCGCTGTTGTAGCCATTTCCATCCACCAGACGAAGTTGACCATCGTCGGCTAGAAAGGTATGGACACCAAAAAGCTTTTAATTAAAATTCCAATGCATTTTGGGAGTGATATTTATTTGGTACTCATCTTTTAAACTAAGACACAAGAACGGCATGAACAACTGCCCCTCATCTCAATTGTTCCTGACCTAGATTATTAGAGTAACATGGGGGTGGGGGGGGTCTGGTTTGGAGGTGAATGTTTTTTTTTTTTTCACAGTGAATATCGTTTCAACAAGCCTTTTTAATAACCACACAAAAAAGACATTCATTTTCTTATTATGACGTTGATCAGGCAGTGGCCTAATTATCCCTGGTGTTGCATGGGCACTGCTGTATACTCACGCGCTTCACAGGCGACCCAAGCGTCCACGGCAGAGGTTGCCGAGCAGTACGATGAACTGGGGTGGCCTATCCATCCATGAGTGCAGGCGTCCAATCTGCTTTCTGTACCGGCACAGTTTAATTGGTCTGAAAATATTTCCATTACACAATACAAAACCATTATTTAAAGCTTTTAAATATTTATAAATGAGCATACACATGTAAGTGAAGTTAACATTGAGATTGAATATTTCTTTGTCTGACTGTCAAACACACCAGTCATAAAGACAGCAGACACATACACGCAAGCACACGCACAGACACACACACACACGCAGAGAGAGAGAGAGAGAGAGAGAGAGAGAGAGAGAGAGAGAGGGAGGGAGAGGCAGGCAGGCAGACATCAATTTTAGCTTAACTAAGTCGGAAAGATAGACAGACAGGCAGACAAACAGTACTTAGCACTGCCCAGGCGGAGACGGACCGATATACACAAACAGAACCTAGCACCAGTAAGTCGGAAGGACAGATAAACCAACGGTACATAGCACTATTCACTCAGAAACACAGGATATTGGTGTATCTCTGTCAATTCGGGGCATATATGGGTTGGGAATTTGGCAAAGTACACTTTATGGTCAGTCAAAATTCAAACTGCAGGTCACAGTAAGGGGTGCAATATATGATTTCCCATTCAAGTTCAATAGTAATTATGGATGTATTTATGTTAGATTTGCAGATATAAATATGGTTAAATGAGCACCCGTCTTGAGTTGTCTTGTCATGTGTTGTCTTGATTAGCTTTGGCTCTCTATGACGGCCTCTTATCGGTGCTTTGTCTCTGTTCCTTTGTTCTTTTTTCCCGCGTCTGTGTCATTTGTGACACCCCAGTGTTTAAGGCGTTGGGACTGGATTTCGAAAACTACTGGGACAGCCGTTGGTCTATCTGTATGAGGTTAGCTGGGGATGGTCTCGTCTATTCTAGTTCAATCTACGATCTGTTGTTTTATTCCATCTTTTATTTATTTTGTACGTTCTAATTTCCAGACTAAATCAGGTGTTGCCATTACTCAATATAAAATGCCCCTGAATTACATCAGGATAAGTCGTGTTTAGCATTCTTATCAAAAAGTAAATTATTTCTTTTTCAAATTTGTATAGATCTAATTACTGTAACCCCATAACTACATGTAGAAGCATAATACTATAACAGTAACCATATTACATTTCTTATTTGTTTAAGGCCATTTTATCTTATAATTTTTTCATCGTTTATCATACAGGGTGAAAGTTTTAATAACAATAACGATTAAAATAAATGAATAAATTTAACCACACCTAGTGTCAGTCTGTAAGAGGGATATAAGGGTTTGAAATTCAGCTGGAGAGGCAGACAGACGTAGGAACAATACCTAGCACAACTCGGGAAGTCCCTCTAGGTGTCCAACTTGACCCGTAAGTAAGCATCCCACTGAAGCCAAGCTGTCTGCAGGTCACCTTGGCGTCATTCAGTGACCACCAGTTCTCACACACTCTCCCCCAGCTACCTGCATAGAATATCTCCACTCGTCCATGATACTGTGAGTTGCCTACTAATCTCACTTCTCCGTCATTGGCTGTGGGTAATGCAAAATGACAAACAACGAGTAAGAACAATATTTCACAAATCACTGCTGGTGTAACGAAACTGAGGATCCGTGTAACAGAAAATCTGCTCTCCGTTCAGTTATAATGGAAAGGGTTAAAATGACATACGTTGGTCAAATTCTAGAGCGAGGTTTACATGTACTAAATGAATGGGAAACATACGTTCTATTATGGGGAAGCACTGTCACGATACACCAGTATTGAATGCTCTGCTCTCATAGGCATTACTACTAACGCCAAATAAATGCTACACTGTGCTTCATAAAATATCTACACTGCCACCTACCACGGATATCCCCCTTTTAATCTACATTTTTAACCAATTTTCTGAAATAAAAGTCGCATCCTTTTTAGCTTAAGGCAGTAAGAATTGTGCGATTCCTTGTGTGACGGTAAGGGGTATGTCTGGATCCACCGTTGAAATATACTCACGCCCTTTACACAGAACGCCGGCGTCATCTGACGAAGACTCGGAACAATAAGAGCTGCTGACGCCAACGCCGCTATGGGAACAATCTGCCAAGCGCGCCTCTGTTTCCTGGCAATTCAAATTATGTATCCAGAATCGACCTGGTGTTTGAAAGGATAGTTCATGAAAATACTGACTTTGACTTCATTTATTAATGTAAGGCAACAGTCAATAACTAATTATATAATTCTGAGCAAGATCGTCAGTGTGTCTTTCTTCTAATCTTGCAAAATCTCTGTTATCCGACATTGTTTTCGTCTGTGATTTTTTTCTGTAATAGGTAAAATAATCGAGGTTGCACTATTAGTCATTGCTGTATTTCATTCGCCACTTTTATTAAAAAGTCCCTGTTTGATTGCTTTTCGATATTTGTACCCTAAGAAGCAGCTTAACTGTTCAACATCCCTGCATGTATTGAACTCACAACAATTTCGTAAATTATCAAAACATTCAGCAAACAATTAGCAGCCCTGAACATATGTTATGCTTGGTAATTATAATTATCTTGATACGCATATAAGTTACAAATAACTGATCAATTATTTTAGGTCATGTGATTTAATTAAGATTACGCCATTTCTATGTGTACTGATACGCATAAAATTTCTATTGGTGTGACTTTATTTTCACCACACCTTTTAAGGTGTATATTTAGAAATAATAAATTATACATATTAAAATATAAATACTTTATTATTTCTAAATATTCTTTATTTGTTAAAAGTGTTAAGTGTTAAATATTCAAGCCAATGACTTTTGTTTTAAAACCACGTTATTAAACAATAAAGCATTTCAAAATATTCGCGATTAAAGTTTTCAGGTATAAAATGCATATACTCACCTGTCCCCCGTGGAGACGTACCAAATGTTCGTGTGTGGGCTCCGGTAAACCCAAGCTGTTTACACGCCACGTCAGCGCTAGTCAGGTCCCAGCCGTTGTCACAAACTCTCCCCCATCTCCCGGAATAGAAGATCTCCAAGCGACCTTCGTAAGCATTTGATGTATTAATAAGACGCAAGGCACCGTCACCGTCTGAAAGCATAATCAAAATACCAGATTTATTCCTTGATCTTCCTCATATTTGATACCCCGGTAAAAGTGATCAGACAATCATTTACCTATTGCTACAAAATATATACCTATGAAAAACGGGCTCATAAATGTTTTGGATACCTGCTGGAATAAAGAGATCTGCCATAAAGCGAGTGGATGGTAGGTTGAATTGCCACACGTTTGTGACTAAACGTTAAGTTCCAGGACATAATATAACAAAAACGGTTTCTGAAGTTTAGTTATGGTCTTAACGGATCAACTTGATACCTCACCTCCATGGCATATAACCCCGGCGTCGTCGTAGTAACTTTGACGACAACTGCTGGATGAAACGACGCCAACTCCACCGTGGGTGCATTGAGTTATATTGGACTCTGATCCTCCACAGTTTACATTATACACCCAGTATTTACCTGAGTCAGAAAAGAATGTAAACCATACAAGACACTTTTTAAAGAAAATGTAAATTGCCTATAAGTGCAATTTATAGATATATAAAGTTGTTATGTAACGTGTCATTTGCTTTCTTCATGACTAATTGGAATGTATGTTACCCAAACTAAAAAAAACTGAAAACTGTATATTTCCACCTTCAATTAACTATAAAAGATACAATACGACACTAATATAGTGATGGACGAGCGCCATTGTCGACACAACAGATCATATATACAACTTACCAGTGCCTCGCGGACTCCAGCTTGTAAAAGATGTATGTGCCCCAGCCAAGCCAAGTTGCCTGCAAACCACTTTGGCATCATTTAAACCCCAGTTGTATTCACACACACGTCCCCACTCCCCGCCATAGTACACCTCAACACGGCCTTCGTAGGGGCTAGTTGTATTCACTAGGCGAACGGCACCATCGCCAGCTGCAAAATATAAGAAGATAGTTATTTTACCTCACACATTCAGAAAACAATGAAATTTCGCCGCTTTGGATTAGTTTGGTTGTTTTGGGAGACGACAGCTCTTTGTCTGTGATTAATATTTAACAATAAACATTTTGTAAACAACCCATAGAAATATAATAAGCTATATGTTACCACCAAATCGGCAACTTAATCGCAATTATTCTGGAATTTGTTGTTGCCATAGACCACGAGACTTTCAAAGTTGACTGCCTTTTGAAAAATATTTTAAGAAAGTATAAAAAAACTTAAATTCTGAAATGAACTAACTTTGGATCTGGGAACGGATTCATAAACCATGGCAAAATTGCCGTTTTCTCAAAGAAAATCCGTTTTTGTCAAAATGTGCAGCTGTTATCACTTATAAAGAATTAGTCGATTTTTGTCCATAATATTCATATCGGCATTTACGTACGTGCTTTACAGATGACCCCGGCATCGTCGTAGTCTCCGGTGCCGCAATTAGTGTTGATGGTGCCCCACCCTCGAGAAGAGCAGTTGTACAAACCCTCTTCAGTTCCGGCGCAATTGATGTCGGACAACCAATAGGATCCTGTACCTCTGGGGTTAAAGTTGATATTTGCTGTTGGAAAATATAGAATAGGACGTAAAGCTCAGTTTATTTTCATTTTAGACTGCATTCCAACAGATTTTAGATCGATCCATCACCGTGGGGAGTCTCACTAGATTGGTGTCAGCTTAACTGACTTTTAATGTCTGTCCCGCCTATTAAAAGCTGTAAGGGGGTAATAAACTATAGTGCGCGCTCGGCCGACAGCAATTTAGCGTGAACCCCCGGGGAGTTAGGTCGATCCAGATGGATCGATCTAAATCTGTGGGAATGCAGTCTTAGGATCCGTTCATAATAGAATTATCGATTAAACTATTCGCAATAACTCCATGTTGACTCTTGCTAAATGCAATCAGACTAACATGCATCCTGGCGTTGGTTAGAATACAAAAAACTGGTGATTATACGAGTATGTTGCAAACAAGGTCGAGGCATGTTTTACTTAACCAGTTCATTATTAATCTCTTTAATTCCGTTTTTAACTTCCAGTCACAGTACATCGGAAGGCAAATTTCTATCTGGGTTTCCTTTGGTGAGCAACTATCGATTTATAAGATTATCTGCAATGTATAGTGCACTAGCAAATGTCATGTTAAAAAAAAGAACGGGTCAGAAAAATTAGCAGAGTAATCCAAAATCAATGAGCCAGAAACAGCTTGATCACATACAAGCGGCAGTTCCTCGGGTTACTGTTTGAAAAGGTAAAATTTAAGGTAAATTAAAAGGTAAGGTAATTAAAATCTTACGAAAAGGAAAATGATACTTACCCGTGTGGGCATCCTCGTAGCCTAGCTGCTTGCACGCAACTTTGGCGTCGTTAAGTCCCCACCCCTCCTCACACACCCTGCGCCACTCCCCGCTGTGGTAGATCTCTACACGTCCTTGGTACTGTGTGTCTCCATCTTGAAGGCGAATGTCTCCATCCGCTGGAAAAATGGCAATAGAACAACATGCAATAACATTATTGTTATTGCATTTGCCACCGCTATACAGAATTGATATTTAATATGGAACATTTCAGTTTCAAAGGTATGCTTATGCAAAAAAGAGTTCTTTTTTTTTAATATTCAGATCTAATAGTGTGTATGTCGCTACCAATTAACTGGCAACCATGTTTGCAGCGCTGCTGCATTGCGTAATATGCATTGGTTTAATTGGGTAGGGCTCTTTTGGGAAGGCCAAAGTTTGTCTTTGGTGGCGCATGGTTCTGTCCAAAAAGTATCCCTATGTCGGCAGTTACTGGATAGATGGTGACATCCCGATGAGTCATACGCAGTGGCGACCGTTTCTGTGACCAAACACTGGCATGATCGATGGTCCCTTATGTAACTCCTTTATAGATGATCATTGAATATAGATATCCAAAATGTCGTTTTTAGTGGTTGTTGTATGACTTAGAATCAGCAATGTATTTCTGTTTGCTTCACTGGCTAATTCAATGAAAGAACTGATGCCAAAAAGACATCAAAATATTATTAAAAATTATAGAAATAAAATTTAATCCATATTTCATTAACCACAATTAGAAAAAAATGACAAAAGATTTGGAAAAAAAATTCCAAATTAATGTCAAGTCGATAGGTAGATAGACAGACAGATAGTGAGACCGCAACTAAAATAGATGCCTTAATATGCATGTGAAGCAGAAAAACACAAGTCTGATATCTCTTGCATAATATATTCAAGCACTTAAATAGGCATATTCTATAACGGGCGGGGGTGCCAGTTTACGTTCATCGCCGTTTTACACGTTTTATGTTAATAGGTTACAATATTATAGAAATACAGTTCCCTATAACGTTGAAGCAGTCTTTCTTTTGATTAAGTTAAAATATGTTTTACTTATTTTGACCTTGGTCGTCCCCAGGCCACATGAAATGACCAATGAGATAAAGAAAACCGTGTTCAACCGCCACATTTTACCCCTGTCAGATAATTTTGACCTAAGACCTGACTTCGCACTGCAATGTTTATAGAGGACGCCTGTCTCGGTTGCATGGCAATTAGAATTAAGGAAGGGAACGCCTTTTGTTGCATTACGCATGGAAAGCTCTGCGTTATCGAGTTACACCAAGGCTGTTATAGTACATATAAATTGTCAAACCATATACTATAAACATTAATTTTAAACTAATTTAGCCAAATTCAAGGTTAAAAGAGTCGTGTGTTAACTCTCTCTCTCTCTCTCCCTCTCTCTCTCTCTCTCTCTCTCTCTCGTAGAACCATGCTTTTTAGCTTATTTGTATCTTTCCAGTTTTGGTAATTAGAGTATATATCTAATAAGTGGAATATACATTAAATCTCAATGTTAATTAAATTAAATTGAACGGTGAAGCAATATAATTGTCACTCTTATTTTGAGGAAATAGGAAATGAACATGAATACTGCACTAAGGAAACATTATGTAGATTATTTATTGCGGTAATGATTTTTTTTCTTATTTTTCTTTTTGCGATTCACAATTTACACAGAATATATGCTGTAGTAGACGGGGAATCTGTCTTAAGAAATTAACCGTTATATAACATTGCATTCTTGAACAGTGCCATCACGGTCTAGGTTTACTTCGTAGGCTGGTTCTATAACTACTCATAGGACCACTATACTTTCCACCTTGATGAAGATTCAGTGACTGGAGGGTCTTTTGGTATGAAGTCCCCATACAGTATAAATACGACTATTTACATAAGACATCCGCACTAGTGGATACAAGTTATTGCAGAGCAAACAAAAATACATTTATTCCAATAAAATTCAATGCGCGCAGCTAGTCCCGTGTTTGAATTTAGTATAAAGGCCTAAGAAACACACGGGTCGAATTTCTAGCAAATGAACCTCGGGTTTGGGGTCCACTTAACCCTGAAATGAATATGTTCAAGATAATAAATGGTCAAATTTTGTTATGAAAAATAGCCAAAGAACGGTAAGTTTCTGACTTGATCTAGTCTTACTTGTCCGAGTAGGATCACCTTAATGCCAAGGAACTTAGGTCAACCTCTAATGCATGCTTCACCAGTTATATTATCTATTATCGCAAGCAAATATCGGTGTTCACTGATTGAAAATCAAAATCGCGTTGCTAACATTCTTTGTCCGTCTTCCAGGAAGGCGGCTTTTGTGTTTATACCTTCAGGAGGGCGTGCTGTTGAATTTATTTCTTCTTGAATACAAAGGCTTTGAGCCAGGGGTTTTAAAAGAGAGTAGATGTCAGAGTTACTTTGTCGGAAGAGTTACATTGTATAGCATTCACAAAGTATTGAGCGCTATTTTACCACAAAGGTACATTATTCACACTTCTATTGTGGATCCAGAGGAGCACAGTGTGAACATGCTATTTGGCTTCTAAAGTATGACCTTCTCCCTCAATCCAAACCCACAATAATAATAATAATAATAATAATAATAATAATAATAATAATAGCAAGGTAAGCAAATAAAAAACCAAGCAGTGTTGTATTCCAGTGCCAAACATGTGACAGCAAAACGGACCCAGTCTGATTTCGCATTCGTCGACTGAATTAAACGAGTTATTTTTCAAAATACAATAATAATTATTATAATAGTTATAATTATTATAACTTATCACTGGTAAATCTAAGCCATCCAACAGGGCTCTACAGGGTTGCTACTTAATATGGAATATTTTTTATCATTGTTATTTTTGAGTGCTGATTTAATTTTTTTGGCTTGAGTCATTAAAAAAGTATGCCACTGAGTAATAAAAACATCCAGTCTTCTGTTCTGAGATAGTTTGGTCAATGATATCAAATCTGACCTAAGATGCCATTCAAAAGAAAGGAACACCCACAGAAAACCATATCAACAGTTTAATGTCAGTATTAACTTTAAGCTAAGATATTAAAGTAAATCATAGCCTCCGGACAGTGATATGTTACACAGTCAAAAAACTCAATACAGTAAATCATGAAAAGTCAGTAATTGCGGGTATGACCTCCAGCAGCCGCTTGCAGCGCCCTCATCCTACATGGCATACCTTGTAACACGTTTTTTAGAGTTTGGATGGGGATATCATTCCACGCAGTGATATTTGCCTGTCGCAGTTCATCACTATTTACCGGTCGATGACCATAGCTATTAATTCTGTGAGTTACTTTTGCCCAAAGATTTTCAATTGGGTTCATATCTGGAGAGTTTGCAGGCCAGGGCAGTTGCTGAACCCATTGGTTTTGAAGAAAAACAGTGATTCTGCGGCCTCGATGTGGGGTTGCGCAGTCGTCTTGGTACACAAAGTTGTTCCTGAAGATGGCTCTTACCAATCGAAGCATCGTTTGCTGTAGAACGCCTCTGTAGGAATCCTGGCTGAGGTTGCCTCTTAGAAAAACCAACTGGTTCTGGGCACCGACATGAAATGCTCCTCAAACAGAGACGTTACAACCCCCTGCTTGCACCCTAGGCAGTACATAATCATCGTTTTATGCCCCTCGTACACGTCGGTGGTCACAGATTCGACCATCAACCCTAAAAAATCCATTTCTGGCCTCATCACTGAAAACGACGTGATTCCAGTGTTTTGGCTGCAAACGCACGTGGTCCCCAGCCCATTGCAGACGTCGCTGTATATGACCTGCTGTTAACAGCGGTTTCCCTACTGGCCTTCGTGCAAAATGACCGCTTGCAGTAATCTCTTGTTCACGATTGACCTTGAAACGGGCGTTTGAATGACATTTTGCCTCTCTTTTCTGAGGGCACTGGTTGTCTTTGTACGACCAGCACGGCTTCCTCTAAGGAGAAGGCAATCCTGTCTTCTTGGTGTAATACGCGGACACCCTGGTCGAGGTACTGGAGTAGATGCCCCTGTTGCATCGTTTCTTTGGAGGACTTTATAAACGGTTCTTGATAAATGTTGAATTACCTGGCAATGGCTGTCCGTTTCTTGACATTTTCTCTGAGAGCAAGAGTCCAATAGTAAGTTGCGTTGCTTAGCTGTCGAACCATATCTCCAATAAGGTACCTGTCAAGTTTCAGACCGATCCCTTTGTTGCTTCTCTAAACACACTCCAAAGATTGACCAAACCCATGCGTTTTTATACAAGGGCAGAAATTACCGAAAAGACCACCCCTCACATTTCTGACCACAGAACATGTAACTGCATGCATCAATTGTTTCGAGAGTTGTGTGGTAATAAGGTAACACACCTGGCTACACATGGAGGGACACCTCAGCTTTGGATTTAAAGTAGTTAGAGAGAAATTAAATCTTTTGTAGAAAATTTACTCGCCAAAAAATAATATTCCATATTAAGTGGTAACCCTGTATGTAGGCATATGGTGACCTCATACATTGTAGCAATACCTCCTGCTGATTAGTCTCTCCCAAAATCGCTATGAGGCAGTGCTGAGGAAGTTTGGGATATATCACTGAGAGGATTCAGAGGATTAGGCACCGTTCACATGAAAAATCTTAAAATCTTAAAATTCTTAAAATCCAAAAATCCATTGGCGGTATCTAGTGATCACGGTCTGTGCCCCGAAGAATGGTGCCTTAAATTAAAATGGACAGTAGTCCCAGCAGGACAGGGCCAGTCTTAGGGTTCGTTCACATGAAAAATCTATTTTCTAAAAATCTAAAAATCCATTGGCGGTATCTAGTGATCACGGTCTGTGCCCCAAATACCCCGCGGCGTAATTAACTAGCAGAGCGTGCGAGTTACTTCCAAAGCTGTAATTAATCATCGGTTGCGCTCGGGGTATTCAGGGCAGAGACCGTGATCACTAGATTTTTAGAATTTAGTTTTTTCATGTGAAAGGTGCCTTAAATCAAAATGGACGGTAGTTTACGCAAGACAGGACCATTCTAACACATCAAATAACTCCCTAGCCTGACTGAGAGATATTTCAAGAGTGGCTGATAAGCAAAAAGTGTGATGTTGAGTTGGCACCGCATTCACTTGACTTGATCCTCCCCAGATTTTTGTACGTGGGTATCTCAAAGACAATTTGTGCCAGGGCAACCCTCAAGTCATTGGTGAACTGTGGGGAGCAATCATAGCAAAAATTGGGGAAATTCTGAAGGAGGAATGTTTGAAAATTTCGCAATGTATGCATGGGACCATTCCCAGAGATATTTGGATCGATCTATCTCTCTGGGGAGTCTCACTAAATTTCTATCAACTTAACCGGCTTAAATGTCTGTCACGCCTTGTAAACCTTTTAGGGGGTAATTATCTTTACCCCCTAGCTGATATAGTAGGCTTGGCAGAAATGGAAACTTGAAATTAAGGATATTGGCACCCTTCACCCAAAAATGCCTTAGATCGCATTCACAACGATTTGAGCCATGGCTTTACAAATCCTGGAACTAAATATGGCGGACGTCATTAAAGAAAAACCGCCTAATATTTTAATAGTATCTCCGCCTCTCACACGCCTCCCCATGTGTCGTCCCAATGGAGCCGAGATTTAATGACTGTACCCCCGCAGGCACGACGCATGGGGAGGCGTGTGAGAGGCGGAAAGACTATTAAATGGTTAGGCAGTTTTTTCTTTTATGTACGTCCGCCATATTTAGTTCCAGGATTTGTAAAGCCATGACTCAACTCGTTGTGAATGCGATCTTACATTCTTTTGGGTAGCAGATAAATGTTCGGTGCTCAGTGACTACATGAATTAACATTTACACATATATCGTCTTACGGGTGACGTCATTATCGCGATTTTGGGGTAAAAACTGAAAATCGGTTTCTCAAATTTCTCTTTTACCTGAGCACCCAAGATCACCGTTTCAACGCAAGTGACACCATATAGTACCCCTAAAAGGTATTCGTTAAGATTTTATCGCTGGTAAAGCAAAAAATGCCTTTGTTTAATGAACATCTGCAATAATTGCTCTTGCTCCACCGTACCTTACTGAATATTTATATTTTAGTTATCCATCTGTTTTGCACTTTAGCATTTATCTAGCATTATTATATATCATGGGAATTAAAAATTTGACTGTTGACAAAAACTTGTTGAAAAAGAAAGTTGCAATCATCGAATAACAGCCCGTAACAGGCCATAGAGCTCGTAATGAAGGGTGGCAGTTTTATTTCGTGTGTTTATACAGAATAAATCAAAATATTAAATACGGTTCATTTTTTTAATTTAAAAATTCAAAATATCTACCATCATAACGCATGTAAACTGCTAATAAACGTCCATTGCTGTTGTACACATTTTAATGTTAATCGGTTAAATTTGTTGGAAAATACAGTCGCCTTCGGTTACCCTTTTTTTATTTTTTTGATGCAGTTTTGATTTTGATTAAAGTTAAAAGATAGTTTTACTCACTTTGACCTTGGCCGTCCTCAGGACACCGTGAAATGACCAATAAGATAAAGAAAACCGTGTTCAACCGCCACATTTTCTTCCCAGCCATGTAAATTTTGACCTCCGACAGTTGCACCTGCGCCCGACAATGTATTGGAGTACGCCAGGCTGGGTTGCATGGCAACAACGGTAAAAAAAGGGAAAACATTTTGTTGATTACACATGAAAAGCTCTGCCTTGTCGCAGATAATAAAGCCATTATCAGCAATAATATTGTGCGTGCCTGCTGGCATTATTCTTGCAAAGACGTATTTTGAATTGCGTAATACGAGTTAACCTAGCTTGAATGATCTTTTGTGATAGAACTGTTTGGTATTTGCGTTTGTGGTTAAACCGTTACAATTGCATATTCTTTATATTTTCTCCCTTAACAGGGCTGGCTCTAGAAATAAAACATAGAACCAGGGTGACAAATATATATAATTCGTTATGAGAAGCAAATGGTGAATTAATATAAATATTTAAACTGTAAAGCACGAATTATACAGTTAAGTTAACAGTGTAAATGGAATCTCAGAGAACTAGAGTGTACAGGATCAGATGACGTATAACATAATACCAAAATATGAGGCACTTGTATACAGAGTGAACGGCATCGAACGAAGGTCCTCAGGACACCTGTGTCTTAACTCACCAGAAAGAAATAAATCTCTACCGAAATGGACATTGTGTGATGTCTAAATAAAGACCAATTTGTTAACACCGCGCAAAATATATATAATATTATTCTTGTTTACAGATAGAAGTGCATGTAAAATGTCAAACCACAATCATTAATTTTAAACTAATTTAGCCAAATTCAAGGTTAAAAGAGACGTGTGTTAACTCTCTCTCTATCTCTCTCTCTCTCTCATAGACCCCAGTCTCTCTCTCTCCCTCTCTCTCTCTCTCTTGATCTCGAGCGTTTAAACTAAAGTGTGCCTCGTTTTAATATTAGAACAACCAATCATAACCATGGCATCTCTGTGCATGTTACAGTCGCTGGACAAATGCTATTGTCACTCACTTCCTTGCGAGATACAAGAGGCAATTGACATCTGTCGCCCGTAGTCACCCATGAACAGGGTAGGGGTCTCAATCCATCACACACCTATAATAGAATCCTGGCCAATGCGCCACTAGGAGCCGTTGAGTGATAACATCGTAAACTAGCAAAACTCTTTCAGTATTATGAACAAAAAGCGTAGGAGTAGAGGGGCATTTTAAATTTTTTTTTTTCTGAGCATTACATATCCAAGAAAGATCAAGTACAATATGTAAGCAAATGCTTTGCAAAAATGCCCTGTAAAGAAAGAGAGAGAGAGAGAGCTAACTGTACATAAGTCTAGGTGCCATAAGTTTTGCTGATTTGAGCTCTAAATGACCATCTATCTAGCTAGAGACATATCTGTGAATATCTGTAAAAAATCTATCACTCGCCCTGGTAGAGGGTACAAAATGACTAAGTTCACGTAGTAGAAGTGAAGTAGTAGGAAACGCGCTGATCATTCTAGCAATGTTTTTGCAGCAGGTTTGCAGTAGTAACCTATTCCCCAACAAAATGACTAAAGGCCCAGTCACAAATCAGTTGCGATGCGTCGGGGATGGGTAAAACCCGGGAAATTTGAACAAAATTTTGAGACAGATCTCACGATTTTGCACCCGTCGGAGGCTAATCCCACGATTTTTCGACAAAACCGGGTCAAAATCCTTGAAAAAAATCTCAGACACTGTGACTGCTCCACTTTTATTAGGATTATTGCTAGGATTGTTCGAGGATTCTTTATTTTCTACGACGACCCCCGGCCAGAACTAATCCCCGACAGATCGCCGACATTGTGACTGGGCCTTAAGTTCCCCCGTTTCTAAGAGCGCACAATGGGTAATGAGATGATAATATTCAACAATAAATGAAAAGGTTTATATAAACAACAGAATAGGAGAAAATATCTAGTAGTGGCGCAAGGACAATTTAACTCCAGCGTGCAACGGGGGGAGGGGGGGGCCTAACAGTGTGATCACACTATATAAAGTACGGTCAATTAACAATGCAAGGCATCGGTTAAAGAGGAGGGGGGTCCTACTATAGCTCGCAATCTATTGTTAAACGTGATCGTTATCATTTCTCAAACAAGCTTAAACCATGCGTTTTCATTTACTGTGTGTCCGGCTGCCGTGGAGAAAGGTCCTGTCGAACAGATTCTGCTATATTAAAATACACTAGCATCACTGTAGTAAGAAAGCATACGTGCGACACCGGGCAATAACAGTCAAGTATAAAATTGACATCTTACTATTTAGATGCACATAAATATAACGTTATAAGAGTTAGGCATTAAATCTCGACAAACTTATGTACATTTTTAAACAACAACCAGAAAAAAAGGGCGACATGTCATAGTTATGAGCTGACAAATTGCTTTAAAAATCATTCTGTTGTGGGAAATATTCATCTGTTTCTCAGAGCGCACAATGGAAAATGAGATGAAAATATTTATAAATAAGTGAAAAAGGTTTATATAAACAAAAGAATAGGAGAAAATATCGAGCAGTGGCACAAGGACAATTTAACTCCAGCGTGTTTCCAGACTGACAGTGTGATCACACTAAATAAAGTATCCGGGCATGAATGACATCGGTTAAAAGAGGAGGGAGGATCTTACAATATCTGGCAATATTTTGTTAAACACGATGACTATCATTTCTTAAACAAACTTTAACCAGCAGTGAGTATTGTTCATTTATTTTATAGACTTTTTTAGATTTACTCGATTTAGTTTTAATAGGGTAAATGGAAACCCACGATTAATTTGTTAGCAAGGAAACGCAACCATATTTATATTACGAACATTCGGAACATCTTACAATTTTAGATTTAAATGAAACGATAAAGTTTACATAATCAAAACAGCATTTATTTGGTAATTTCTATGTTAAGGTATTTGCTATTTGGCTTTAATTTCAGGGGAAATGTAGCGGTTCTTTTGTGAATGCAGTCTAGAAACTTAGCTAATATTTCCTGTTCTTGCAGCCTGTTTTCGCCAGGGGATTGAATTGTGCTAGATGTGACAGTTCTCTATGGCTACTTAATTTTCTATATACACATTGTATACATAAATTTCTAACTACTGACAGAGAAAAAAACGTACCTGTTTTTTGTGATAGTTAACACAAAGGTGTTTATTTATTTCAGTTCAGAGTGGACTCAGATGTTCATCTTGCTCTGGCACTTTGTCCTGTAGCGAATCACAGAACAGTTTGCAACTGTTCACCTCTTACATCACATGTGCTGCTGGATCCGTATGCCACGTGAGTCTTTCTCTCCTTTTTTCACGCGCACACACATGTAGGTGTACATTGTAAATGACACCGTGTAAGTTTCTATAATCATGCACATCTCTCTCACACACGCACACACATACACACATGCATTCGTACTCACACTCGCGCTAGCGCTGCCACTTTGACGCAGCAGCTCAGCCTTGAAGTAGGTCATATACTACTTGGACAGTATTCGTCATGTTCGCTCGACTTCAAGACTGCTTAAAGATCCACACATCTTATTAGCAGGGTATATCAATATCTGCGGGGGATTATCGCTAAAGTGCAATCACTGGAATCACCTTAATTATCTGACACGCCTTCTCGAGCAGTTAATAAACTACAGTGTGCTAAAGCCTCGGTCACAACCGGCCGCACGGGCTCTTACGGCCTGTTTGCGTCCAAATTTTGCACAGAATATTACGTGCTGCGCAAGTCCTTCTTGTCAAATTTGGTGTTCGCAGACAGCACGTAAGCACGTACGGAGGATGTTGGACATGTCCAAAATATTCTACGAAAAATCTGCGGACAGCAAGGCCGCAAACGTAACTTTCTCCACTCGCAAGGAGTTTGCAAGAAGTACGCAAGTGAGTCGTGCGTGGTCCAAGACGCACGTCGTAAACAATGAAGGAGTAAGTGGCATTTGCGCGTTGAGTACGACGCACGCCCTCACAGCTAAAGCCTAGTTGTAGGCAGCAAGAGCCTAGCGTGTCAATTCAGTTTTTCTTTTTAACGAAAGATATAACCATCTCCATCATTTGTTTGTCTTTCTCAATTTTAGCTTCTCGCTCTTTCTTTTCAATTCAAAGTGTTCTTTCTCGAAGGCCAAATTGTCTTTCAGGTAACTGACGTAATCTGCTGATGAATCAGTACGGCGCTTCTTAGTTGGCGGCATGTTGTCGCAATATTCAGCTGAAAAAATAAGCGTGTCACCAATTTATGCAGCGTCAGTTTTTGTTACTGATATAATTAATATTAATCCGCAGTCACAACCGGCCGTACGGGCTCTTACGGGCTGTTTGCGTCCAAAATTTGCGCAGAATTTCACGTCCCACGCAAGTCCTTCTTACGAAATTTCGAGTTCGCAGACAGCCCGTAAGCACGTACGGAAGATGTTGGACATGTCCAAAAGATTCTACTAATAGCCTGCGAACAGCGAGGCCCCAATCGTAACTTGCTCCCCTCGAACGGAGTTAAGCCTACAGGGTAGGTCCCAACTTCGTTTTCGACGCACGGTTTTTAGGTTCCTTGCGTCCGGCTAGGGCGTAGCAAGATCGCACGTAGCGGCTGTTGATCATGACGAAAAGTTAAGCCTAGGTCCTAACTACGTTTCCGACGCACGGTTTTTTGGTTCCTTGCGTCCGGCTAGGACGTAGCTAGATCGCACGTAGCGGCTGTTGATCATGTCGAAAAGTTTCTACGTGCTGTTTGCGTACTCCAAAAGTCGCACGATGGACATGCTCCTCACGCACGAACTCCCACGTTTTCCCCATTTTTTGGCCGTAGACCACATGTAGCAGCCCATACGTTCGGTTGGGACCTAGGCTTTACTTGATTTCCTCCCTGCGATCAAGCTACGTCCTAGACGGACGCAAGGAACCTAAAAACCCTGCGTCTAAAAGGTAGTTGGGACTAATTGTACCTAGGCTTTAGCAAGAGAGATGCGTGTTTTGCAAGACGCACGTCGCAAGTAATAAAGGAGCAAGTGCCTTTTGCGTGTTGAGTAAGGCGCACGCCCTCACAAATAACGAACAAAGTCGATAGCACACC